AGAGAGAGAGAGAGAGAGAGAGAGAGAGAGAGTTGAGGTTGATAAACGGGGATTTGCAGTTTTCTTTGTCTTTTCTCCCTCTTTGCTTTTGTATATAAATTTTGATCTCGGCTCAGGGCGACTCGCTCGTTTTCTTTTGTTTTCGGAATCTTGGTTTGGTTTCCGCCCACAATCGTTTTTGCGATTGGTCTCGATCTCGTTTATGGTGTGTTATGGCGAATAAATGGATGAATGGATGTTATGTCTGTTTGCTTTTCTTTTGTGTGGTCCTTGCCTTTGCTTGTCCGTTTGATACACTCATGAGCATAGCAGAAACTTTTGCGTAGTCGTCATTACTGCTTCCATTGCTGTTTATTCTTTTTGAGCCACCGTTGTCACTGCGATGTCTGATAACTTAGGAACGATTGCGTGTGGATCACGAGTAATTAGATGATTGGGTAGCTGTGTGTCCAGAAACAAGCGAGTACCTCGCGGGGATGCGTGAAAGCGCTATCTGATCTGCGCAGCCCACACGTATCCACGCGCGCCGATTCGCAGCCATTGACGACCTTGACACCTTCGATATCGGGTAGGTGGGAACTTTCCTTTCCCCCACGCGCCTAAACGGATAGGAGTTTCCGATATCACATCGGAAAATCCCCCGGTTGATTAGACGCGTGCGGGAGGATTCCATCACACTGCAATGATAAGATGCCAAGCTCTTGGGATTCGGAGTACTCCGACCCTTGGGTGAGGGAATGTATTAGGCAAAGATACCCGAAATTCCCCTGCATAACCGAGAATCGATTGTGCCCCAGGGAGTTTCACTGTGCCACAACCAGCGATCCGAGGTGCCCCGATTATCCAACTACGGATAACTCACACTACTTCATATCCCCCGGTTTCGTCGTTATCACTACCCGTTTCCCTCCCTTCCGTCTCCTCCTCTCGTATCACCAACTCACGGTGGTTCCGTGGAATTCCATCGCCCCATACTGGCCTCGCACGCCTTGCGGAAATTGTCGGCGACGCAGCAACCGATGAGCCCCTGAAACTAGGAGGCCTAACCCAGACGCGCGACGGCAGACGCCACGTGGCTGCGCCCAGAGGCCTGACTCATCGGAATCACAGCCATCCCGGGCAGACCTCTCCCCGAACCGCCGCCCCCAAAATAGACGGATCGGATGTCCTTGAAATGCACCGCGCATGGCATCTGGCTTATGCTGCACGACATAAACACCAACAGACCGGAAGTAACTCGCCCTTAGCCCTATTGCATCTATGCCCCTGAAACTTTTCCACAGGAAATCTCAGTTCCGACCTGGGACTCCACCCCCACTTTCCCAAAAATCCTTGGCACACCCCTCTTCGCACTTCCAGGCCCACATCCCACTCCGATCAGGAAGTCGCGCTGGGCGTGAGGTTTGGGCGTCACAACCCACTGGCAGGGGTTAACAAGGTTCCCGAGGCTAGGTCCCACTTGCTTATCTTCTTCATTCTTGACCGTAGATCACGGAGATCCATGGCCACAAATGAAGAACACCAGCTAGTGGGACTTGGGGCCCCCAGCATAATGAGTCCATGGAAATTCAGGTGCGGGAAGGACGTGTGCACATGACAACAAGATCCAAGACACACAGAGAGAGATCAGGAGCCATTTGAAAAACAGAGAGTCAGAGAGCAAAAGGATACCAGGCAAGGAAGCCATCAACACAAGGCCCACATATTATCTCCTGTCTAAGCCTGGGCCTTGGCCGTCGCCTTCTCCTTCATCTTCACAACCCTTTTTCTTTTTTTTTCTTTTTTTCTTTTTTCAAACCACCAGTACTTCCTGATAATTTGCCGTTAAACCACCAGTACTTGGCCCAGCTATCGGCCACGGGCCTTCCCAGTTAACGCGCCACCACCGTCGGGGATCAGCCAAGGGAAGGCCCGGTCGGTGCTCGAAGGCCGGGCTGCGGGTTCGTCGGGATGAAACAACAAAGAGAACCAAAAACGAAGGAGAACAAAAACTCAAATACGAAAACATGAAAAATACAAAGACAACGAACCCTAAGAAACAAAAGTCGCACGAGAGGGATGGAGGGAGGAGAGAGAGAGAGAGAGAGAGAGAGAGAGAGAGAGAGAGAGAGAGAGAGAGAGAGAGAGAGAG